GTCTACTGTATTCACATGCACTTTTAGATTATTCCACAAACTGAGATTAAACATTTTTATAAAATAAAATTAGATGAAGAGAAAAGAAAACCATCCTCACAAACCTTACATATTATGTAAACTAAACCTTCAAAAATATTTGCAAGAGATAATAACTTCCTTTATTTAGGAACCTTCTAATACATATAAACTAAATTTCATTATTTTTATAGAGAATTAAATAAATACTTTTATAAAAATTTATTAAACAGTAGACAAAAAATAGAAATATCTACTTCAGCTTCATTACTATATTTTATTTTAAACTTTAAAGTGTGTTTTCTGTCCACAAACAACATATTATGACATTTATTCTGTTTAATATATTACATAATGTTGTTATACAACCTGTCAGAAAACTAAAACTTTACCACAAACAGTCTATAAATTAGTACTGATCTGAAAACCGTGTTTAACTGTAGTTTAAACAGGGTTAATTCCGACGACCGAACTCCCAGTGTTCAGAGGTGAAACCGCTTGGCCACGGTCACAGAGAAAACGGAACAATCTTATTCATTTGGCTATCGAATTCTTACGATTCGGTGCCGAACACCTAACGATTTAAAAATATATATATATATATATATATATAATAAGAAATCCCTAATTGAGATCGATAGAAACAATCAGCTTCGGTCTAGAAACACCGTACACATAACTCCAAAAAGATCCAACATGGCGACTGCCGCAATGCATCACGGCATCGTGTCTAGACCTTCTGTTTATAGACCTTGATTTAAACTTTTACAGAAAATTAATACTTAAATGGAATTTTGTTTTTATGATAAATTATTTTGATTTAATATAATATTAATTTTGAATATATATAAATTTGTCTAATTTTAATGTAATTTTCAATATAAATTTGTAAATTTAAAATTATAAATAGTTTTTTTAAATATTTAATTAGCTTTATTTTATTAATTTTTACAACTGTAATTATTGTGAAATAAATTTAACAGTACTGTATTTCTAATAGTTTATATAGCATCCGGATGGCTGAGCAGTCAAGGTGGCAGCCTACGGCTGTGGGGGGCCTGGGTTCGAATCCGAACGGGTCAAAAAATTCCCATGAATTTTTCGGTGGGGGTATCTGTTCTAATATGTCGGGTTTTTAATTTTTCAACTTTGGGGAAAAAAACGGCCCTTTAATCAAGCCCATTGTGGGTTATATGCCAGGCTCGAAATGCGGATCCGGGGCCAAACATATTCGAAAAAAAACTACCGCCAAGAATTCTTGGGGGATTTTAGATGCATTTGGATTCGTTTCAGGGTCGCCAGTGTGGTAGACTGATACCTTAACCACATGGTCATCTATTATTTCAGATTCATGTATTTGCCATATGCTCATAGTAAAACAGTAAATTCATGTAGTTTTAGGCATTTTTGAGTCTTCAGATGCTGTTTATTTACAGGCATTACACAAAAAGAGATGTAAGGAATAAATATTAATAACGATCGGCAAGATAAAGCTCATAAAAAGTTAGGACCCTGGGCCATGTCAGATATATTCGTACATTTCATGGCCTCACATTAATCTCGATGTTATTTAAAGTATTGATTTATCCATTCGCATTTTCGGTCAGTCCCTATCGTTGGTTACATTTATAATAAATTAACTAACTATAGTATTAATAAGCGTTCACGTACTTAATGTAACCGAATAGAAATTGGTTAATTCATAACTTTAACTTGAGATTCTTTCTGTAAACATTAATTAAACTTTTTTGTGCTGAGCATTACTTAGTATGAAAGAACTGGTATAAAATTCATTCTATAACATTTATCTTGACATAATTCTAAACAATACTTTACCGTATGAATATTAGTGAATAAATATTTGATTCATATCAAATATTTTAAAGGGAAATTAAAAATTACAATATCAAAATACGAGTTAAAAACTCCATTTTATTTTTATTTGTTCTTCTGTTTTAATACGTGTAGAAGCAAAATCACTTTTACGACTCTGACACCGGACACTCGAAAGCATTTAAAAGTTTAACACAAGAGTTGTGCTAATTTCAACCCACTTAAAAAGCTATTCGAAGACATTCTTGCCATTTATCCAAACCTTTTTCATCTTTTTCTTATATTCTTTTGTTTATAATCACTTTTATTCCAAGTCTTATGATGTTTTATTCCTTCATGCATTTAGCACTTTTCTAAATGGCTTGTTTCAGCCACTGGAAGTTTTGTCATTTGGTGTCAAGTATTAAATGGTGTACACAACGTTCATTTTACTAGTTTAAGTTTTCTACATTTTGAAATTTGTGTTATTTTTCCGAATATACCCAACTTGTTTTCTTCTTTATTCCGTCTCGTTGGATAACAGAGTTTATTTCTTTCGTGTAATTTATCACGCATTTCCACTTTTCAGTATTGTTTCGTGTTGTTGATCTCTTTTATTTGTTTACTTACAGTTAGATATTTGGCATTCATTTTTTTTCTTCTTCTGAGATTCTTAATTGGATTTTTTCAACTTTCCTTTAATTTGTTTGTTTATTTATGGCAACGCAACAATTGAGCGATCTGCCTAGAGGTATGCCTTCCGGGAGGTCTTTTAAGGGGAACTGGCCCCTATTTAAGCGTTACAGACGTGAAGAAAACTCTGAAAACTCCATGTGGCCAGCCCGTCCTGGAGAGGCGCGAACCCACGACCGAACTCCCAGTGTTCAGGGTACGAAGACCTCTTGGCTACTGGTGGGCCTCAACTTTCCTTGAAAACAATATGCCCACATCATCTGCAAATCAGATATCTTTTAATTATAATTTTATGTAACATTGTACTTGTGTACTCTGCTTAAACTGCTACGGAAATAGTTGAAGAGATTTACACAATTGTTTAACTTTACTTGTACTTTCAAACCATATTATTTGTAGTCAGTTAATATTGTTGCATAAACTGGACTTTTGCAGCATTTTTCATGCATAATTGTGTTCTAAGGAATAATATTTCTATTTTGAATTTAAAGTTGATATATTGTTCTTTGATCTCGGTATAAGATATTGGTAATTGTTCTCTGGTTATGAAAATTTTGTCTATTGTCTCATTATTCTTAATCAGGCAACTATTACGAAGATTCCGAAATTCTACACCTATCATGGCCTAGTGGATAATACCACTGGACACTGGTAATTTGTCATGGGTGCGAACCCATGACAAATTACCAGTGTTCAGTGGTCCACGCATCGCCAACAGGCTGACCGCGTGGAGATTTCTGGGTTTTCTTCGTGTGTTTAACACTTAAAGAGGGGTCCATTAATTTTTCCATAGAAAGTCTTTCCTCGCCAGATAGACCGCTTTGTCGTATACAAACGTAGCGTTTTAATAAATACACTGTTTTACTGTATTGTGTTCATTCCATATTTTCTTAAATACATCTTACCTTTTACCTCTGATCCAGAACCTTGAGTGCAAAAGATGTGCATCTATTAAGTAATTCCTCGTTATCTTTTGAAGTTCTGTTATGTTCCTTCCGTACAGCCTCTTGCATTTCTAAAATCGACTGAAATTGTCTCCCAAAACTAAACTAAACTAAATTTTAATTTGAGAAACAGAAGCGCCAACATTCCGGTGTGCCTTAACTGACCACATCTGTTATCCAAATTAAAATTTGGTTTAAAAAAAAATGGACAATTTCATCAATTTTGGAAATCCGAGAGATTATACAGAAAAAAATAAGGAAAATTCCAAAAAGATCTTTACATGAGTGCATATGTATATTATTAGAGCGTGCACACAAATTTCAGTGTTATTAATGGGCACGTGTAAAGAACTGCCCTCCATCTAGAGGAGAAAATTATAAGCCCTCATTGAGGGTTGAAAGTACAGCTTTTATATGATAACATGTGCTATTTATAAAAATAAACACATTGTACAGACTGAAAACGTCGTGTATCATATTTCAAACTTTTTAATTAATGCCTGCACATTCATGTAAAGGCATTAGAAAAGTAAAATTATCTTTTATGATGATATTTCATGCTTCAAATCAGCAAATTTATCTGATGAAAAATGGCAATTAAATGAAAGGTTATGAGTACACCAAAAGAATCGTTTATATAATATCTGTATTTTTTCAGTAAGAGTGAAATTGAAAATGGATAGCTACAATATCTCCCTGTGTATGTATTTATTCTATACTAATAACATGTAAAAGGGATTTTAATGAAATAATTACTATTATTTTAGGCTTATCCACAAATTTTCAGCACATTAAAACATTTTGAATTTTTTTTTAGACATAAAGATAAAAAAATCTCTCACCTCCCTCAGTGGTACTGATGTTCTGTGCTGTGCCAATTGAATAAAGGCTGGTATACACGGTAAGGAAATCCTTTGAGGATTAACCGGGATTTTTTTTTCTATCTATCCATTTTTAAATAAAAATAATTCTTTATACGTTGGGAGATATTTTAATAAGTTTTGTAAATTACTATGTTCGATCCAGCCAGTTATATCCGAGTTTTTTTCGTCTGTTAAGCACATCCTTTGAGGATTTCCTTACCGTGTATACCAGCCTTAAGGATGTCTTTCTTGTGGGATTTAATGAGTACAGTAGACCCTCTATAACACTATTGATAATTCCGTATTATATGAATTCCATGTCGTGTTAGATTTTACAAATACGTGTGCCAGGCTGTGAATGGCTCACGTATTTGTAAAATCTGTGACTCATACAACATGGAATTCATATAACACGGAATTATCAACAATGTTATAGGGGTCTACTGTATTTTACATGTAAAATATAAATGCAGTTGATTGTATGAACATATTTTTGTATGTATGTTAAGATTTACGTTATCTCTTGTTATCTTTACTAGCTAAATTTTTAGCCCCATATTTTTAGCATTATTATCATTACATTATTAAATAAGGTAAAAATTTAAAATAGTAAAATAAAAATAAGTAAATAAATATAAGATCTGTATTAAACAACTGTATTTTTAATAATTATATTACAGCTATTAATGTTAATAAATTTTAAATGAACTATATTATGACGTGCGCCATAATTTCATGACGTAACAATACATAACATTAAATATTCGGTCAATCAGAATCTCTGTCCATTTCAGAGCTGCAAGATGGAGCTTCGTATGTAGCGCCATCTTGCGGGAAATAATTTTTATCTTTTATCGTAGAATGTAAACGTTTTTTTCATTGGCATATCTTTACAAATATTTGTATTTTTGCACAGCAATATCCTAAATTTAGAACCATTTAATTAAAACACTTTTAAGATAACTCATTCAATTTTCTTGGAAGTATCAAATATTTGGTAGACTACCAGTGCCTGAGTAATGAAGAAACCTAGAACCTGAAATATAAAACAGTTTATTATTGCAATTTAGTAAATAAAGAATGGCATAAAAGTAAGTTAACCGAGTTAACTCGGTTAATAGACTTTTGGGTCACCCTGAAAATATATCTTCTATTTACCTTAAATATAGATTGTCTAGTGATAGGAAAACTATTCAAAAATGTGAAAGTTAATTCCGACTCTACGCATTGTTTCATCATTAAGAAAATCTGAAACAAGTTCATTTAAATTTAGTTCAAATAATAATGATTAATTATATTTAAATCTGTGTTAAATACCATGTTTTCTTCTTCCACGTTTCGTTCTTCAAGACTCAATTTGTAAATTTTTCTATAAATGTTTCTTCCCTGTTGAAATAACGAAAATAATACATAAAATAAACAACTTAATTAAAAATACATAAATACCCAATAGTCAGTTAATTAACCATTGTAATGAAATACTATTACTTTTAAGATTTGTATAGGTGATCCATTTTGTTTCTGGCCTCCCCATTGTACGTCTATTCGAACTCGCAATAGAACCTACCAGTGGTCAAACGGGAGTTCCCTGAACACTGAGAGTTCGGTCGTGGGTTCGCGACTCACCAGGACGGGCTACGTGGAGTTTTCCAAGTTTTATTTACGTCTGTAACGCCTGAATAGGAGCCAGTTACCCTTAAAAAAGCTTCCCGGAAGGCATTCACCCACTTCGGCAAATCGCCCAACTGTTGCGTTGCCATAACTTAACAAAGCAAATAAAACAAACCCATAATAGAGTTTCAATAGACCTACAGTGGAGAGGCCAGAAAGTAACAAACAACGACTTAACACATTCTGTCATTCAACCATATAAATTTTTGATTGACCTGCATTCGAACCCGGACTCTCTAGCTCAGTATTTCTTAACCTCGGATGCGTATACTTCTGGGGTGAGAGTGACAATGATAGGTTTTTAACCTTTAGACTCTGTCTTAGTCTGTATAAATTTCACTGAACTTACTGGGTACTTTCAGATCCCACGATAAACTGGAAAAGCCACCACGATATCCGAGACCCTCACTACACCCTCTGTACCATTGTCTCTTTAAACACAATTTTCTATTGGGTGCGAGACCGTATTTTGAGATTTAAGGGGTGCCGATCACTAAAAGACTTAAGAATCACTGTAAAGCTAATGCCTGTCAATTTAGAAAGTACGGGTTCGAATATTTATCTTTTCAGATTGCCTGAGCGGGGAAGCAATTGAAGATTAAAACTCTCATAAGATTTAATATTATTTTAATACTATGGCTAATCATAGAAAACGTTTACCGGTATCATTTTAAAAAATCAATTGTTATCTTTAAACATCCCCAGTATTACCATATATTATAAAGGTCATACTCACATATTTAGTGATACTCGCTAGATAAAACAAGTATACAGTTACAATAACAAGCGCTAAGACAAAAACAAATCCAGAAAAGTATTTTATCCTTCCAATTTCTGTTATAAATGCTTTTCCAACCGTAAACTCGGCTATAAGAACCAAGACAACTACAGCAAAACTGTAATCGTTTTGAATATTGTTTATAAATTTCAAATAATCTTTGGCATTTTCTAAACATCTTCTAAATTCTTTCACAGAACAAGTCCTTTCACAATTCATGGCACTGCACAAATTAATGAACTGTAACTTTAACATATCACAGAACAGAGAGAAAATGCAAACGTTAAACGCGTAACAAATTAGAAAATAACTAATAGAAAATGTAAACTGTATTAAGCACACGTAACTCCCTAATGACCAAGTGTTGTTGCGAGCTGTTAAGCATATGTGTCCATGAGCAACGTTTGTTAAAGAACCGATAAATCCACTGAAACAAATCCAGAAGCATATATAGTTGTTCTGCTTCCTCGCAAAATTCTCAATCAACCCATTATCATAAAGGAATTCGTTAAAGATTCTAGTAAACAGGAATTCGCTATTTTCGAAAAGGATCTCGTATTTCTTACAATTCCACTTAACAACGTAAATTAAGTTGAAAGCCATTATGACACCGTTCATGATCCTCATATTGTAAGAGTTCTTCTTATACGCTATGGAATGATCGCATAAACTAAGAGCAATTTCATCGTCATTGGTGTAAAGAATTACTGCGTAAGATATACACTTCAGTAAAAAAAATACCTTTAACATTAATGTATAACACATCATCCATTTACTTTTTTGTTTCGTGCCTATTGAAATATCAGCACCGGTAATTCTTAGCAGTGTGATTGTAGGTGAGAGCAATATTTTAGGATCAACGTTTCCAGACATGTTTTGATTCTTGTACTTCTAAAACAAATTTATATAATAAAGGCAATGCTGGGGATAGTTATCTGTGCATTATAGTAATCGAAGCAGTGTGCATTATATTAATATTAATGTTTCTTTATTGAAAATTTTAAGAACATGTTTAGATTGCTAATGGAATATTGAAAATCAATATCCTATTATCATTATCAATTTCTTGTTTCCATGGCGATATAGCTGTTAAAGTGTCCTTTTTACGGGAGGAAATTATTTTGAATAAAACCACTAAACACGTGGGTTCGTGGGTTCGCACCTCAATAACGGGATGGCCACGTGATTTTTCCGGGTTTTCTTTACCTTAATAACATCTAAGTAGGGGCCAGGTTTTCTTAGAAAGTCTTCCCCGTACGCATATCGCTCAGGTATTGCATTGGCCGAACACGCAACATCTATTATAAAAAGGCTCCCTTAGTGCCTACAGATCGGAAAAGACAAGTGAATGCTACACGGAGAATTGTTTTATTGGTTATCGATCTCTTTGTCATCATTATCCCTTTATTATATTTGTTTGAAATCATACACAATAACAAGTCGTAGGCGTGTTATTGTGACATTTTTACCAGGCATGTGGCTGTTGCTCTTGAGGGTCTGGGTTCGAGTCTGAATTAGAAATCTTAGGAATTTTTCATTTAAAATCCTTCCCGGATATGCCAGCTTTATCGCCCATTGTGTCACTAGTCAAAGCCAAGATGAACCAATAAAAAACCGTATTGGTGTTCACATAGGTTTTGTTTGGTTTATGGCAACGCAACACGTGAATGATCTCTCAGGAGATTCTTCCCGGTATAGTTTTTTTTATGGGAAACTGCAAAATTGCCCCTAGTTAGGTGCTACTAACGTGTAGGAAATATAGAAAGCTCCACATGACCAGCCCGTTGGCGATGTTTGAATCCACGACCAGCTACCACAGTTCGATAATTTCATCTATTGATGCTAGGCCATTGATGGGCGATGTTCCCAGAGATATATACAATGTATTATCAACTAAGTTTGTTATATCAACGGTAGTATATATATTACAAGTAATGTATAAAGTGAACATTGACTATACATATGTAAATAACAATTAGACTTATGAATTTCAATATAATTAGTAAAAATTTTAATTGTATAAAAATAACAGTGGCCATGTTGTTTTTTTTAAACAAAAATTCACATAAACTTTCTAAAAATAATTTACAAACAAAGGCCAGTTACGAAAACAGCCATGTTTTTATGTCCGTCAATGGCCGATGTTTATATGTTTGACTGTATTTAGTCTATATAAATTTCAATAAAGAGTTGTGTAACTTCCCTCGCTAAAATTGCGTGTGGCGTTATCTAATATGATATTTTATTTTAAGAAGTTTCAATAAAGAGTTGTGTAACTTCCCTCGCTAAAATTGCGTGTGGCGTTATCTAATAAAATATTTTATTTTAAGAAGTTAGATCTTTAATTTTCAGATCACATATCTTACAAAGTGCAACAGATATTAACTTTATATATTATTTTTTCCCCTCTAATGAGAAAAGTCGTAACGTCACTACACTTTGATTTATTATCTCCCCCTTTCTATATATTGCAATTTAATATAAGTAATTACCTGCTTAAGTTTCTATACTTTTGCTTAGATTTATAAACTTTTTGACTAGATTAATGTTTAAATTTAGAAATAATATTCTTTCAAAAGATTCATTTTTCCAACATCTTTGCTCTTCCTCATCACTTGAGATGCTATGATAAAATTTTTGTTTTCGGTCGAAAATATCGGAATTTTATTAAATTTTTTTGGTCTTTATTCCATTATTTTATTTTTTGGATTATTTTCTATCTTTTTCAATTGTAAATTTTATTATATGTTGTTTTATCAAAGAGAAATTGATTGTTTGTATGGTGTCGCGTCGTGTGATTTAGCGGCGCGGCGTGTGTATATTAAATTTATATTATAATAATAATTTATAGAAATTTAATAATTTTAGTTTTATAATAAAGAAGATAAATTTGTTTTCCTTTAATTAAATTTTAAAATTTACATGATAGTTTTGTTATAATTAATAAATTCTTTAATACGTTTCATTGCTTTGCGCTGGCGCACGCGACGACGCGTCATTAAATTTAAAACGATTTATTTTTAAATAATTTAAAGATATTTTAATATAGTTTACAAATGTTACTCAAACTATACTTGTAACTGTTTTTTTATTATTATATTTTAATTTTAAATTTTATTTCATTTAATTAATCTAGCACGCGAAGCGACGTTTCGGCGCGTCGCGTCGCGCAAACAATAAAACAGTTGCCATTTTGTTTTAAAACAATATAAAAATAAAATCAAATTATTTTTAGAATTCGTTAAGACATATGAACAGGTTACTTCGACTGTATTGTTCTATTATAAATTGTTATTTAGTTATAACGCGTGACGGACAGACATGTAAATATTAAGTTATATACAATAAATCTAAATTACTCTTAAGGTTATTTGATAAAAAAAAAAGACGAAAATTGACAAATAATTATGAAATAGATGTGTTAAAGTAGTTAAACATTATTCAACTCACGTAACAATCGTAACACGTTAAACTATTATAGTAACAAATTATGTAAAATACAAATATTTAATTTATTTATCATAATATATTCAACTTTACATTATTAGAATTCATTACATATATTCCGAACAATTTATTTTCCACCAATTTATTATTATAGTAGCATGACATCCCTTTAAATTATAACAATTTACTAGTTTAATCATCATAATAATAATAATTGTTAAGGATCGTTTAGAAATTTGGGATGTTTCACGCGATTACGTACTTTAAATTATAGAAAAATTAGAGAATAATCTAAGATAAACAAAAAACTTTAAGTAATTATAGTTTAAAAATAATCAAAATTGTAAAAGGAAGAGCTAGAGCAAAAGGAGGAGAGAAGGAGGAGGAGGATGAGATGTAAAAACAATTTAAGAATTTCAGACGTTTCACGTGATTATACGCTTTAAATTGTAGGAAAATTTATAAAAATTAAAGAATAATTTAGGATAAA